TTCCTCCAGATCCCGAAGATGTTGGGCTGTTTCCGGAGATAAGGCCGCCGTATCGGCCTTGGACCTTCGAGCCACGCTTTTCTTAGGCCTCGGGGTATTTGCAAGTGACTCTCTTTTTATTTTTCTTATTTTAGAAGACTTCGGGATCTCTTCTTCATCGGCCGGCGCCGACCGCATAGCAACGGTGTCTCCACGACCTGCATGAAACTGAAATAAGTATCCCACAGGAGAAGTACAAGAAAACAAACAAGAGAACTCACCATGGTTTTTGGCCTCCCATCGACCCTTGACCAAATCCCGTCAGCAATGCTCCGAGTAAGAGGAAGTGGAAGCCAACTTTCGGACCTAGCCTTCGAGGTCCGGGACCCCACCAGGAAACCAAGCAGTGATTGTGCCATCAAAGGGGTTAGACCAAGGAAAAGGGTAAAGTTGAGAAAGAGAAAAGAAAGCAGGGTATAAACCTGCCATATACTTACGTTTCATGTTCCACTCCTCGGGGAACAACATCCAATCAGCAGGAATCAGGTCGGAGGTCCTGACTCGGACAAACCGGCTCATCCACCCTCGATCTTTGTCCTCATCGATGCTACAGAAGAGAGATTTCAAGGATCAGCATTGCAATTTTATCAAGCCACCTCGATAAAGTCGGGGACTGTACAGTCTGAACAGATGGTCGAGGGTGAATGACATCCCCTCGACTTGGCTCAAAAAGAATCTGATCAAGTAAACGATTCGCCAAAATGAAGGGTAGATCTGGCCAAGCGTCACTCGGTATCGTCGGAAAAAATCAAGAATAACCGGATCTATGGTACCCTGAGCTGGAATAGCAGGACCCAGCGTAAATGGGTAGGTGTACACGCTCAAGTACCCCGCTTTATATGTAGTGATGTCCTCCTCGGATGAAGGAATCACTACTTCTTTGTTCTCCCACTTGCAGTCCTCCTTGCTTGCGCAAGCTCGTCCTTGGTTATCAAGCAAACATATCGAGACATGGGTTCGCATCGGCCTAGTGTCGACACAAGTTTCTCGATGTTGAAATCGGAAGTTATTTCACATGGCGGAAGGATGCACTCCTCAATTCGAGGGGGCACTACCGGTTTGCTCTTGGTCGGTCGAGAAGATGAAGAAGCATTTTCTTTCTGGGGAACCGGTTTGGAGGTTTTATCCATCACGACACGGAGATTTAAAGAAAATGGAAAGTGTGATAGTAAGATAGAAGAAAAGGAGGAATTCAGAGAAATTGAAAGAGCTAATAAAACTTTGAGAACAATATGAGAATAAAGTTTGCACGGTTATGAAGTTTGCCCATTTATAGAGGTCACTTAACCGTACTTTGGCCAAAAGGCCGACCGTCAGCCGCCTCCAATCAATGACTTTGGAAACTGCAAAAAAAAAGCAGCCTTTTTCAGTCACTTCAATCACTGACGTCACGAGATTGGCATTAGAATCAAGACATCAAAGATCAATTCGTTTTCTATCAATCTATTTCGAGTTCGAGCGAAAAGGTCACTCAATTACTAAGCCCAAGGGCTACCCGAGCTCACTCGGGGACTACAAAAAAGCTTAAGGGCTAACTTTATTTTCAGGATTCGAGCAAGTACTCGCCTGACTGTTAAGCCCAAGGGCTACCCAAGTTCGAAGGAAGTTCTCACTCGATGGTCGTCTACGGAGCCTAAGGGCTAACTTTATTTTGAATTTGATACCTTGCTCTCATTTAGCTCGGGCTCAGGAATCCCGATGTTCCGAGTTCGCATCGAATCAATTTAAGCTCAGCTCCAGAATTAACGAAAGCCTTAAGGGATATTATGTTGGTTGATTAAAAACCTAAGGGTTTGTTACGTCCTGAGTCTGGTGTTTGGACTAGACGTTAAAATTACACAATCACATTTTTCACAAATAAAGACAGAACGGGATTCAACACGAGCCAAAAGGATGATAAATGTATCCTTTTATATTTCCAAGAGATGGTTACAAAATATAACTACAACACCCACGAGGGGTACTTATACAGAAACAAAGAAGAAAAAACAAAAGCCAAAAACCTAATCTACTTCTAAGGCCACGTTCTCGAGAGCATCATCTTCGAGAGCCTCCTTCCCGGGGACCCCGTTTTGACCGCTAGGGATATCTTCGTACCCAAAGAGGTTTGAGGTAGAAAGTCTTCGATAAATGTAATCATATTCCCAACAACGGAGATTGAACGTTCTGTTGAAATTCTGGGCCGTAATCCGTTTAAAAAAGAGCAGCAAAAGAAAAAGACCAGAAGGGAAGACCAGAAGATGTAGCTTTACCTTCTATCACAAGAAAAATCAAAAGGGTTGCAAGGTGCATGAGCAACGGCCCAAGAATGTTTATCCTTGGGACATTGTTTCGGGGTGGGATGCAAAAGTTAGTAGACGATAGTGCCACCTCATTCCATGGAGAGCAAAAGGAATGAAGTGCTACACCAGGTTGATGTTAAGAGAGATGAGCAGCAGTGTAAAGTTCGCATATTTTCTGATGCGAGAAGGATTCGGCGCCCTTCTCACGTTGCTTCGAATCAAAGCTTTGAAAAGGGAAACCTGGGCATAATTGGTAAAGTTGCTTCCATATGACCATGTGTTCACAGGTTCGAACCATGAAAATAGACGATTAAAGAAGGAAGCAAAGAAGGGAGAAGACCAAAAGAAGATAAAGATGAAAAATGCACGGTTCTTTGTTCAACAAGATAGCCTCCTATTTATAGAAAGACGGCTACGGACTGGCGGCGCAAATGGCCGACCAACACTGACACACATTTGATGTTTTGGGGAAGAGTGCCGACGTGACATTTTCGGTCGTTTCAAGCACTTACGTCAGCGTGACATCATCATGAAAAGCTCGGGGAAGTCGAGGTACAAATCGTTTCTTATCATCTTATTCTAAGAAACGCGGGGACTATCTGTATACGGTCAAAGTCATTTGCTCCCGATGTAGAAACTCGAGGTTCTGCCCTAGGTCCAAGCCCAGGAGAAGTCAAGTTCGAGGCCCGCGGGCCAGGCTCGAGCTCGAAGAAAGAGTGTAATGCCCGGAAGCAGGAGTTCGGGGAATACCGAGGCCAAGTGTGCTCGACCTCGAAATAGTACCGTTATGGATTTGTACCAGAGCGAGCTAGATTCCTGCCACGTCCCTGAAATCATGGCGCGAATTCAGGAATAGGATTGGTTTGATTCATCTCTATTTTTCATTTCTACTTCATATTTCTCGTTTCTTAATCGGTATTGAACTAAATCACATATTTTTAAAACCACAAATCAAATTTAATTGTTACTCGTATTTTTCAAGGTAAACAATTAACATTCAGTAATGGTAGTATTTGGAGACAGTATGGACACCAACCACATATGAAAAATTCAGCTGCAACTGCATTTTTATATTCTGAGACAGGAAAGAACTTGTTCAACAAGTATGGCATAACACTTGGCTTAAACAAGTCCTTTCAAAATCTCATTACTCTATAATATCTTTTTAAAAAGAAATTCCCACCGGATGATATACTATTATCAAATTTGGACTACTTATATATATATATATATATATATATATATATATATATATATATATATAGTTTCAAAATCCTCATGTTGTAAACATCCAAGCTAAAGAGACCATTGATCATCTCATTCTTGAAAGTGTGATACTGTCAATGCAATTTTCCTATACTCACTCTTTGAATATGGGGATTCAAAACTGGAAGAATGTCAATACATATACGGTCAAACCTTTTTATAACAGTTCCGTTTGTCCCAGATTTTTTTGGTTGTTATAACGAAGTGCTGTTATAAAGAACATATATTACATGAAAATTGGTTCCAAAAGAACTTGACGTTTATAGTAAAAGATTGTTATATAGCGATACTGTTATAGAGATATCTGACTGTAACACAATAATTAAATCTACGGCTGTGTGGAAGACAAAATGTGCAGCTAGGTATGGAAAAGGTGCCAAACAAACTACAAAATTTGTCAACACATTCTCCACATAATTCTAATGTTATATGTGGTAACTTGTAGAAACGAAGAGTCCTTCCTATTTACTGTTTTCACTGGCCGGAAGCAGTGCGGGGCGTAGGCACCTTGTTTGAAGCGATGTCACGTGACATTGCTTAGTCGAATTTTTTTCGAAATCCGTATGTATAAATAATAAATTGTAAGATTAAAATATTAGGTATAAATATAAAAATGAAACCGCTTGTTGTTACAGTAATTTATTTATGTATTCATTTCTTTAAATGTTGATGCCACTTAGAAAAATTGCTGCGTACGCCGCTAGGAAGACCAAGTTGTAGTTATAAATCTAGGTGAATATATATAATAGGTGTAGGATGTTCTATCAAGTTAGAAGCTCAATTTTATGGAAGCTACAAAGTTGGGAATGTCCATTAACACATATGTAGGATTTGAGAAGGTAAGGTTTTATGTCATGTCCTTCATGTATTCTCTAGGGGACCTTAGAGCAACAATAAAGTTGTCTCTGTATGATCTAAAAGTTACGAGTTCAAGCCCTGAAATCAGCCATTCAGCGTCAAGATAGACTACCTACATCACATCCCCTTGGGAACGGTCCTTCTCCTTCCCCAAAATTCTGTGTGGAATACGAGATATTTTATGCACCGGACTGCCCTGCCTCAATGCTTAACCCTCCATCACGGCGAGGGAGGTGAATGCATGGGGAAATGGAGTTGGTAAAAAAAGATGGACTCTTTATAATGTTATAAGACACAAAAAGGACCGAAGATGGAGATAAACACGAAGCACAACAATAATATTAGGACAAACTCTATTCTTACAAAACAACATTACAAAGAGGCTTCTATAGGTGGCAAATAATCTTCTAAATTTATTTTTACAACCTCTTTTACACACACTATGAACCTAACCACATCGATAACATAAAAGTAAAATCTACTCTTGAGGGTGTCAAACCCTAGCTAATTATATTAATAATTAATAATTAGTTAACTTAAACTTTAATTCCCATTTTAAATAAAGTGGCAGTCCCAATCCCATAAGGGGACATCAGAAAAATCCAAATCATCATTTGAAGTTTCCACAGGTTGTGAAGTACGAGCATGCTCCTCTCCAGAGGATGAGCTTTTCATTGAATAAACATTTGGTGCAAGTAAATTTTTATCGTTTGGAGGATTAATATTCTGGTTTGATGGTGTAGCCTCATCATCTCCAACATCATTTAGTGGTTGAGGGAGTACTAATGTTCCTTCAATAATACCAAAACCAGCTGGCCTTCTGTCAAATGCCCTAACACACTTTGATTTCTTGTAAATTCTGCACAAGCTGAATTCATGCCGCAACTGCATACAATTTGAATAGTTTAAGTTCTTGGTATATGCACGATTTCTTTTTTTTGGCAAGTGGTATCAATATATAAGAAAGTGAACAAATGAATAATTAAATTAAACTGACAATATATATGTCGACATTCTGACGAAGCAGTGTCGGATGATACCAATTCATTGAAAGTGCATCCGCGCCTAGCTCTATTCTCAGTGTCGTAAAAAATATCTACTCAATAAATTTCAATAGAATAAGGTAACTAAATGTAATTATCTATGATAAGAATTAATAAGTAATGCTTGTATTAGGGTAAGCTATCTACATCACATTCCTTGGGTGCGGTCCTTTTTCGGACCTTGCGTGAACGCGTGATGCCTTGTGCACCGGGGTTGTTTTTTCTTTTTTATAAAGAATACCTACTATATTTAATTAGACCATGTTAACCGTGCAAAAAAATCTTTATATTATCAATAACAATAATAAGTCACTTCATATATACTTTATATATGTGAAGGTTATTATAATGGTGCACGAATATTGTGACTTTCTCGAGAAAGAGACATGTTGCTACCTGATACAACATCAGAATATCTAGATATTATGGTCATATAATTTGCAAAGAAGCTAGAACTTTTCATTGTTTACAAGTAAAGAAAGAAAGAAACATAACTTAGTATCTAATCATGACAGTTTCATAACATTTGTAAAAGCTCTACATAATAACAAGAGGAATAAAAGAAGTCTAAATTTTCAAGCAAATGAATACTTCAGTAGGCTATGGCTCAAATGGATAAGTTTGCTTAGATGATATTTTGGTTCTTTGTGTAATATATATATTTGAGACAAGGAAAAGTCTTCCCTACCAATCTTTACACTGCTTACATCCCAACATATAATTCCAAGCACATGCAGACATTTTGTATAGTATTGTGCTTGTCCAATTCAAACCTTGTTTTTGTGGAGGCTAGGTTTTATGTCCCTCTTTTTATTTTTTGGATTTTAATTTACTAACTAGGGGTTTATATCAAATCCTCCCCCACTTCAAGGTGGCACTAAAATAAGAATAATAAGAAGAATTTTAGTAGGCTACAGGGTGAGAGAAAGAAATTGCTTGAGCAATATAATAACTTGATGACAAAAAATCAGGAAATACATATATATATATATATATATATATATATAAAATAAATTGTGTGGTAGAGCATAAAGAATCCATTTAATTATTGTCATGTTAGATCATTCTGACCTATATATAGTGGAAGCAGAGGCGGACCTACCCTTAGGCTTTCTCGTGATGAAGAGAAGTCTTTTCCGATGTTGAAAGGTATCGTCACGTCAACTCAATTTGTCTGGTAAACTACTCAGGGCTCCCCATGGTTTAGTAAAAGGGAGGGAAGATTTTTTCTTCATCCGGGGGTTCATTCATTATGAACTAATGAGGGAGGGGTCACCGGTCCTCGGTAATTTCAGAAAATATACGTGTATATATTTTAAATACAGTAATATGTATATATTTTGATTGACACCCTAAAACTTAAAGTTTAGACAACTGCATTGGTTGATTTGAGGGGTACAACTTGACTTTTAGTGTGTTGCTTGGGTTCAGTTCCTAATCCTTTATTTACTCAAACTTTTATTTGATAGTAATGCCCCGCCACTTTCAAATCCTGAATCTGCCTCTCAGCGGAAGGGAAAACTAGATGAAGAAGCAGATGCCAAACAGTAGCTAGCTAGTACCTAAAAGAAAGAAGACTACTTCAAGATTTCTTTTTAATTATTTTTACTTTTGGTTGGAGAGGTCCAGAGTCCAGACCCAGATACGAGGAAGGGGAATAAAAGAGCTGGCAAATTATTACATAAATCTAACGAGTCCGAAACTTAAATAGTGTTCTTTTGGGCACAAAATACCTTTCTACTATTAAAAAAAAGTTACATAAGTACATAAAATAAAGTATAATACTGCGTTTCACTTTAACGGAAAGTTAGCCGTTAAAGTTAAACGCAGTACTATACTGCGTATCATTTAAAAAATAATTTTTTTTAGGAAAACTCAGTACAATACTGCGTTTCCCTTAAACGCATTACTGTACTGCGTTTTCCTTTAATAAAATATAGGGTCCCTTCTTCTTCCCCAAGATAACGACAGTCACTCCTCCATTCTTAAGAAACTCCCCAGTCACTGCTGGTCCCCCCCCCTTCCCCCCCCCCCTCCCGCGAAAATTAAAAAAAAAATTTGGGCCCCACCTGTCACCAAAAAAGCGAAGAGTGTAGGTCCCGCACACAACACAAGCCTTGGATTCCTTCTTTCGTGTTCAAAAATTCGATTTGGATCTTTTTCAAAAAACTTAAATCGAGGTATTTGGATTTTATTTATGTCGAAACTCGTAGAGTATATGCATATTTATTTTGTTGAATGTGTTTCCATGTTAATTTGTGTTATGTTTGTGTTTAAATTTGTATCTTATTTATACCCGGATTGATTTATTAGCTTTGGGACAAAAAATAGTTAAAACTTGATAAATAATTTTTATTGTTAATATGTTTTTATTTGCTTAAATAATAAATAAATATTATTTATTTAGTTTGTTGTTCATATGTATGTTATGTTTGTTGTTTTTATATGTAATAGTGGCCTTTTAGCATAGTAAAATATAGAGCCTTTTAGCGTAGTAAAATATAGAGACTTATGGCATAGTAAAATGTAGAGTCTTTTAGCGTAGTAAAATATAGAGCCTTTTAGTGTAGTATAATATAGAGCCTTTTAGCGTATAGTCTCTGTAGTTTAAGTATGTACTAACTACAAACTCTATCCAATTACACTCTACAAAATTAATTATTTAATTTATAAAAATAAACTTACAAAACTAACAAATTAATATATGTTGTCAAATTAACTCAAATATCGAGCTTGGAACCCATAGATAATTACTCAGTCCAATTATAAAAATAATTATTTAATTTATTAAACTAACAAAATTCTAAAAATGTTGAAATTGACACACGCCCTCATTATTGGAAATGTCTTCAACCTTGACGTACATTTCCAACAATTTTATTACAATAAATTCCCTGTATTCATCCGGAATCCGCAAAAAATCTCTAAGAGTTTCATCATCTTCGATGTTAAACTCAGAATAATAAGCAAACCCCTGCGGAGTCACTGAATACGAAAATCTACCGGTTACTTTAAGGTTCACCGAACGTTTTCTCACACTCATTTTTTACGTAACAACGATACCAATTTATCGTACTCCATTGTAAGCGGCAATTTAACATGACACTGTGGAGTGAGCTATACCTTACAGAGTTATTCTCCAGCACAACTTCATCCCC